GCGGTTCGATCCCCAGCACCACATGCCAGCCAGCCCTGCCCCCTGGTGGGCTGAGCTGGCCACACACACACACACACAATAAATAAATGTAATAAATAAAAATAAATAAATATAAAAAAAAAATCTAGACTATCAAAGCTATTACAGTTGGGGCTGAGGGGAGTTCATGTGAATATGTGCCTCTACTGCCTGTGCAGCTCTGGACCAAAAAGCCCAGCACCACAGCTCAGGAGCATGAGCATGGTGGCATGATGGGAAGGTCCATCTCCAGAGAACCTGTCAAGAATACAAAGCCTATGACTGGCTGTGTAACAGACCCATAAAGTCTTATCAACTCATATCCTGGAAGTCTGAGTATTAACTTCTAAAACAAGCTGAGCAGACCACCTCTCCTGGACTGAGAATTAAAGTAGAATGCATGAAATAAGATACTCTGCTGTATGCAAACAAACTTACCACAGAAACAAGTGTAGGTATTAGGAACATGTGCAGAGACATTCTGACAGGCAGGGCACCTCCAACCACTCTGGCCATCTGTCAAAACAAATGAATAAGCCAAATAATACTTTCAAAAGCACAAGTAGCTCAGTGGCAGAGTACGTACTTAGCACACATGTGGCCCTGGATTCAATCCCGAGGGTCTTCCAAAAAGGAAACACAAGTAACTTTTGAAAATTTAGGGCTGAGGACATGGGAGAGACCTATGTAGTACATGTGAAGCCCAACACCACAGAAAATTATTTAAAAATGTTAAAAACTAAATTTAAACTTAAGTAGGACATGGTAGCACATGCTTGTAGTCCCAGATACTTATGAGGGTAAGATAGGAGGATCAATTGAGCCTATGAGTTTTCAAGACCAGCTTGGAGATGTAAAGGCAACCTGGCTACAACATGTGTCACTTTTCCGATTATAATGGTTGATTCCACCGATCTGGCTGGGTACATGTGTCCCCTTCCTCCTTCACAGCTCCTTGGGCATCCCTTCCAAAGCTGTGCACTCAGTTAAAGAGGCTAACTTTTCCCAATAGAAGAGGATCATTTCCTCAGGCAAGGGTATATGAATAGCTGCTTTCCCCTGTCAGAACCTCCAAACAAGCTACCAGGAACAGCTTAGGCCATAAGGTGACATCTTATCTCAAAAAAAAAAAAAAAAAATCTATAGAAAATGACACTATTGGGCCTGGGGAGATAGCTCAGCAGAATAAGTGCTTGCCTGGCAAGCACAGGGTCCTGAGTTCAATCCCCGGCACTGAAAAAAAAAAAAAAGAAAGAAGAGAAAAGAAAATGACACTATTGAAGCAACTATAGTAATTTCAATGTTAAGTATATCATACATTAGTAGTGAATGCTTTAATTAAATACCACATTTGGGAGCACATTTATAAGGACTTTCAGATACAATGATTCAGTAGATACGTGGTTAATAAGATAAACTAATTGAATATGTGCAAGAAAATTAAAATATTTGAAATTAGAGATCCACAATTCCAGAAGCATAACCTACTATAAAGTCCAAAATAAATTATGCAGAAGATACATGAAAGGCAAAACCAACTCTACTGAGGGTAAATAGGTGCTTTGTATAAATTTCTAAAACAAAGTATACAACAAATACAAGTTGCTTTTTGATTAAAGCTATCATTTTCAATAATAATGACTAATTTTACAATGCCCTAAATATTTTTTCATTGCTACATTCAGCAGCTTTCTTTAAGATCAATAGCTTAACTCTGGTCACCTGAAACATGATCAAGACATAGATAAAATATATAAGAAGAATTAGAGTTAGTTTTTGTTTGTTTGTTTTTTTGAGACAGGGTCTCATTATGCAGTTCATGATGGCCTTGAACTTACTATGGAGCCCAGGCTGGCCTTGAACCTGTGGTGCTCCTCCTGCCTCTGCAATCCCTAATGCTGGGATCATAGGAGTGTGCCACAAAGCAAGGCCAAAAATGAGTTAGTATTTTTAAAGCTACATTTACAACTTAAACATATCAAATAGGTGAGAAGAACTACTCAGAAAGAGAAATAACTGACCTGCTTGAGATGCTGGAGACCTTGCCCATTTCTTAATGCAATTCAGATGAAACACATGATAACAGCTCTGACAGCTCCAGACTGGGGCCGTGACTCGAACCAACTCACAGCACACCATGCACTCATATTTTTCTGTTGTTAGCTGTTCAATTAGAGAACCTGTTTTAAAAAAAAAAAAACTAAAAGATAAACTCAAACACAGAAAAACACTCCTTACTTTAGCCAACTAAGGAGCAGCAAAGTCATTTGGGAGAAAAATCTGAAGAGAGAATGGAAAGGCTTGGGAGTAAAGTTGCTATTCAGATGGTGAGGCCAAGAAAAAGCAGGAATGTGCTGAGATAGAGGACTTAGGACGGAGATATTTAGTTGGGGATTCTCATAATTTAAGAAACACTCCCAAGAATCTGCTCAGGAAGATACCAGAATAGCCAAATGCCCCTCTGACAAAGCTTGAGCATCCCAGGGCATTGTATTATGAGTTTGAAAGTATATGGGCATGGGTGAGGCTCATGGAACTGCAGTGATTAGCTATAAGAAGCTTAATTTTGGACCATTTCCAACTACCCATGGATGATGAGATGTTGCTGTGAAAGTCCCCCCCCCTTTAAAATATTTGATCATTCACCAAATAAAGATATGATTGATATCTACCACAAATTCCATGGCAGGGTTACCAGACTGAAGACAGTCCCTGGCTTGAGGAGTTCACCATTACTGAGGAAACAGTACAGCATCATAGGAAGCCTCCCAGGTTAAGCCTGGTGCATTGGCACATGCTCTGGTGCCAGCACTTGGGAGGCTATGGTGTGAAGATCAGTGAGACCTTGTCCAAACAAGACCTCAAAAAACCTTCCCAAACTTGTTCTTCAAGAAGCACTTTTACTCACTTTCAGATTTTTTTTTCCTTGAACACAAATGAAATTAGTCTTCTAGATCTTAATATAACCAGGCACTCTCAATATGGGTGGAGGAGAGTGTGTGTGTGAATATTTTTTTAAGTTCATACTTTTTTTTTTTTTTTTTTTTTTTTTGCGGAACCGGGGATTGAACTCAGGCCCCTGTGCTTGCCAGGGAAGCACTTATTCCACTGAGCCATCTCCTCGGCCCCAAGCTTATACTTATAGCATTTATTTTATAATGTTGCTATTTGTTTTCAGGTCCAAATAAGACTAAAATAAATTTAAATGCAGCATACAAAGCACTATGTTATTTTGTATGTATTATTTAATCTTAACAGGGCTACAATATATGTACTATTTTATAGGTAAGGAAATTGAGACTCAAAGTAAACAGATCACTTACCCAAGCTTATATAACTAAGGTTTTACCCAACTAAAAATGTGAAAGTCTAAATTAAACTTTAGTTAAATTTTAGTTTTACCCAACTAAAAATGTGAAAGTCTAAATTAAACCATCTAATTCAAAAGCTCACTAATTCCTTCATAATACTGGCTCTCCTAAGATTACTTTCTGATCAGTTTAATATCAAAAGAAATACAGAACACTTGGATCATAAATTACATGAGCAGGAAGAGGGCCACATCTACCTTGCTTAATATAGTTTTTCCAATGTCTGGAACATACAAGGTGCTCAATAATATCTGCTGAGCTGGGTGTGATGGTGCACGTCTATAATTCCAGAACCAGGAGGATTGAGGCAGGAAGATCACCTTGAGTTTAAGACCAGCCTGGGCTACATAGTGAGATCAGGCTTCAACTGCAAAGTGAGACTCTGTCTTAAAATTTTTTTTTGTTGTTGTTGAGGGGCTGGAAAGATAGCTCAGCAGTGTAAGTGCTTCCCTGGCAAGCACAAGGTCCCAAGTTAGATTCCCAGTACCACATTTTGTTGAATTAAGGGCTAAAGGAATAAATCAGTGATATCTAATCTGCTTTGTAACTTTTTTTTCTGAAAGTTGAAGGTTTCACAAAAGTTTCTGGAATGCCTCCCTCCTCCTAGGAAGAAAACCTGAAAAAGACATAATTTGTGTGGCTAATTAAAAGGAAACCTACCTGCTCTGGTAATAGACAAACACATCATTAAACTGAATTCTGAAAGTTAAGAACAAAACCTAGCTCAGTCTTAAAAGCAAGAATAGGGGCTGGGGAGATGGCTAAGTAGAATAAGTGCTTCCCTGCCAAGCGCAAGGGCCTGAGTTCAATCCCCAGTTCCAGAAAAAAAAAAGCAAGGATACCCTTCTCTGCACAGTTAACATCTCTGAATAACTAAGTTAAATATATACTCATATATATTATATACAACACTCTTAT